AAATAGGAAGTTGAATAATTCGAAATATTATGTTTTTTTGCTGAATTGCTGCTAACGACAAAAATGGATTTTCATCATTGGTAGCCTATAACTGAATAAAACTTAACTGTTGAAAATTTTTTCAATGCGGCTTCAGAGTAGACTGAATCTGACATATTGAATTTTAGTAGCATTTCTCTGGAAAATAGGAGCCAAAAATTTCTTTTTGGAATGAATTTAGGGATACTTAGCAGGAACTAGTATCATATTTCTTCAAATTTTGAATTGTTTTTTTTTGAGATGATGTTTTGTAATTGCTTTGAACACATTGATTATTGATTGAAACTAAAGACTGATTACTGTTGTTTTTTTTGTTATGTATTGTTTAATGTTTTTGTGAGCCTCAATGCTCGATGCGGTTTCATCTTGCGGAACTGATTACTGATTGATGATTGTTCTCCTTAATTGTTTTTGATAGATTTTTTCTATTAATTATGTCCTTGAACAATTTTTTGTGCTTGTAGAAAATAATGATTTAAAATAAATTGCTTTTTGACGAATCTTTGTTAGTGACTGTTTTCACCTTAGAACTATCTGGTTGACGAGACTGTGCTTTGTCGGGTTTAGTCTTTGGTATGAATTTGGTGTCGTTGAAATATCGCGTATTATGACGAGCCTTTGATAACGTCTCTGATGGTTTTTCACCTTGGGGAACTGATTGAGAAAACTCACTGATCTTTTTTGTTTTGTTTGTTTTTGGTTTGAAGTTGTCATTGAAAGAGATTATTCCGTGATTAGCAAATTAAATAATTGGAAATATCGTCTTTGAATTAATTTCGGTGAAAGTGATGGCTTTTCCTCGTGGGGAATCAATAAGTGAATGAAACTACTCATTTTAGAAATAGTTTATGATTTGCTTTCAGAGTTTGTGTTCCATAACTGAATTCGGGTTAATGGCTGTATCAAGGAAAGCATTTGGATTTTGTAGCTTTTCTCTGGATACTGCAAGCCAAAAATTTGATTTTTTAATTGAACTTAAGGTATACTCATCAAGAAGTAGTATCGCTTTTTTTGAATGTTCAATTGTTTTTGAAGATGTTTTGTAATTGCTTTGAACACACTGATTTTTGATTGAAATTGAAGACTGATTGCGGTAGTTCTTTTGTCGTTATGTTGTTTCATGTTTATTTTCGATAGAAGTCAATCTCAAATTTTGATGCATTCTCCTCAAACGGAACTCATTATTAATTGACGATTGTTCCCGATTAATCTTTTTGATAGGTTTTTCTGATATTAAGTTCGTCTTCGAACTTATTTTTGTGCTTTTAGAAAATAATGATTTTGAAATTTATCGCTTTTTTGACGAATATTTGTCAGTGACTGTGATGGTTTTTCACCTTGGGGGAATAATATTTGATTGACGAGACTCAGTGAATTTGTTTTGTCGGGTTTAGTCTTTAGCATGTTGGTGTCGTTCAAAGAATTTCTTCCGTGTATAGAATACTGAAGAATTTGAAATATCGAATTTTTTGACGAATCTTTGTTTCTCACTGTGATGATTTTTCACCGTGGGGAAATGCTTAATCATTGACAAATTTCACTGGTATTTTTCTCTTTGTTTTTGGTTTAAAGTTGTAGTCATTGAAGGTGTTTTTCTGTTAATAGAAAATTAAATAATTTGAGTTATCGTAGTTTTTGCTGAGTTGTTTATAGTGAAAGTGATAGTTTTTTCTCTTGAGGAACCGATAACGGATAGAACTACTCACTTTGGAAAAAAAATTTTCTGATATCAGAGTTTGTGTTTGAATGCGTAATTCTGGTAATTAATGGCTGAATCAAAGAAGGTATTTGGGTTTTCTAGTTTTTCTCTGGAAACTGCGAGCCAAAAAGATTTTTTTAAGAATGATCTTTAGGGATAGGCATAAGAAAGTAGTATGGCCTTTTTTTGAAAGTCTAATAGTTTTTGGAGGTGATGGTTTGTAAATGCTGTGATTATTGATAAAAACTTAAGGTTGATTGCTGTAGTTCTCTTTTGTTGTTGTAATTTTGTAATGTTTTTTTTCTCGAAGGTTGTGAACCTCAATTCTTGATGCATTTTTACCTTGGGGAACTGAGTGCTGATTGACGATTGTTCTGGTTGATAGTATTTGATAAATTTTTAGCTACAAGTTTTGTCATTGATCACTTTTTCCTGCTATTAGCATTTAGATTGATTTTTCGCATTTTTGACGAGTCTTTGTTAGTAACTGTGATGGTTTTTCATCTTGAGGAACTGCTAACTAAATGAAACTACTCTCTGACGAAAAATTTTCACAGTTGCTTTCAAATACTTTCTTTTGCGAATCCTTTTTTATAATTGCCAGCCAATATGGTTATTTGCTTGCAGTTTTTCTTTGAGTTTATAGATGTTCTAACTAGATTTCCTCCGAATTGCTTTTGGATTTGTTTTTACTTGCCTCGATTACTTCTTTTTCTTCCAAAATTCAGTCCGATACATTTTGGTTTCTGTCAAGAAGTAATGAAAAAGTGTTTTGATGTCGTGGATTCTTGCTAACCGCTGAAGGGTATAGCTTTTCACTCTCTGGTATTGATTACTCGGCAATTATTCTCGTTGACCATGATTTGTGGCTTTCTGGATCTAAAGTTTTATAGTCGTGGAATACTTTGTCTCCATGAAAAATCTAATTTGATTTTTGAATATACCAAAATTTGACTTTTCCAATAACGATTGAACGTGGTGGTGCTTGATCTTGAGGATCAGATATCTGAATTACTTATTCTTTGACAAGCAAAATTAGAAAAATTTCAAAATTGTGGCGATCCTTTTGCTTCTGGGATTTTATGGCTGAACCTGGTTCTGTATTTACAGCATAGTGTATTGCTAACAAGAGTTTTTTTAAACGTATTTAGCAAATAAACGTATTTCATTTGGTGGCGTTTTTGGTATTTAAAAGCGAACATTTTAATGGCATTTGTTGCTGCTTTATTTTTGGCTAGTGTGAGGTCCTGACTAAAAAAAAACTGTTTAAGAAAATATATGGTACCAATGGAAAAAGCGGCTGCTCTTTCTTATGTGCCTGCATCTTTTGCTAGTCTTTTTTCATTTTACCTTACGTTCTATGACATTCGAAAGTTTCAGTAGAGTGATTTAGGCCATTTTTTTCATTTTCTCAAATATTAACTGCACAAATCTGAGATGAAAGTTTCAATCAAAAGAGCAAATTATGGGAATTTCCCCTTCTGAAGCGGCTATTCCCTAGATACAGTAGAAAAAAGTTATGGCCTCAAACAAGCTCATTTTTTGACATTTTGGTGAATTTGAAACTTTTGACTTTTCTGAAAAACTACTCTGCCAAATCAGAGATTGAGGGTTTAACCGAAAGAAAAAATCAGTTATGCTAATCTTACCTGCCCAAGATCCTATGCCCTGCGTTTTGAAAAAAAATGACCTTAGAAAATGTCCTATATTACTCTTCAAATGTTACTCTTCAAAAACTACTCTAATTCTGAGGTTGATAGATCAGTAAAAAGAACATTTTTCCTGCTTTATCTGTTTTACCCTGTTTTTTTTGTAGAAAAGCTGATATGGACTTTTTACCGTTTTTTAGACGTTTCGTCACTATTCTCGAAAACTACTTGCTAAGTCTATTCTCCTATTGAACATGAAAAGTGTAAAGGCCACTAAAATGTGATCTATTTCTAATTTCGAAAGTGGATTTTAGTTTTTAGATTCCTAGTGTAACAAAAACTTTACCTATTGATCCAGTTATCTCAAATTGAATTAGTTTTGTTTAAAAAATTGTCAAAATTTGTTTTTGAAATTCGAAGAGCCTTAAGGTCATAAGTTTTTTCTTTGAAATTCGAAAGTTGAAGTTTTTTTTTGAAAGTTGAGTTGAATCTTTTCTCTCGGCTATGTCTTACGAATTGGCTGCCGAATGGTTTAAGATATATTTTTGCTTGCCTGGGAATTTGCTTGTTAATCAGAAAAAAGTTTTACCGATTTCTCTAATTGAATGCTGGCAGTGATATTTTTTCACTTGTCACTGATTGGTATTAGTCACTAAATGAGAAAAATTTGATAATGTTTTTCGTTACGCCGACGCGTCGGAAAGTGGCTGGAAAAAACATGGGGTAGGATCCGTTTTTTCAGTCAATTTTGACTAGCTCAAAGAAAGCTAGCAGGGTTTCAGTGTGGCATCATAATAAAGCATCATTGGTCGTGGTTGGGGTTCGGGTAGAATCTGAGCTTCAATTTTTTGCTGATTAATTTTTGGATATTTTGGATTGCTTGGGACACACTCGTTAATCATTTTATATTTAGCCTTATTTCTGTAGATTAACTGGAAATTTGTAATTATGAAGTGTTTTTGGTCGTGTAGAGTTGAAACGACATTGTGATGGCTTTTCATCTTAGGGAACTGATTGCTGACTGACAATACTCACTGACGAAGAAAGTTCGATTTGCGGTTTCAGAAATCATTTCTAATTTTTACACTTAGTTCTACGAATTGATAGCCTAGTGGGATGATGTGTTTTGATGATAGATTTTCAAATTTGCGGGTGAACGGTTGTTTCTTTTGCTTTCTGAACTTCTGAAAACTCATAGAGTCTGGGCTACGAATTTTCTACTGAATATTCTTTTCATGTTGTTTTGATATGTTTTTCAATTGCTTTGAAGACACTGCTTATTGACTTACTAATACCTGATAGTCAATAATCACTGATTATGTTTTTTGATCTGTCTGACGAAAATGAAGTCATGATTTGTTGACATCCCATTTAGAATTTGACTTTTAGCGAAAAGGAAGTCATGCTTTCTTGACATCCCATTTAGAATTTAAAAAATGTCATTTCCTTGACTCCCCTGCCATGTTTTGGGAGTGCTAGTTGCATCTGACAAAACCGTTTCCACTTGCCGTGTGTGATGTTTGATACAATCATCGGGAAAACAAATTTATTGTTATTGAAGAAACAGGTTTTAGAATGTTTTTATTTTCCTATGCGTGTTGTCTCTTTTTCAGGACTGCTCGCCTTACGACTGCGGAGGAGAAGAGACTGAACCTGCAGACGTTCGGGGCTCCATCTGTGATCCGCAACAGACCCCCTGGACCCCACAACTACAACAACTCGGGTGGATTCCGACCCAGGTCGGCCGGCAACTTCCACGGCGGCGACAACGGAGGAGGAAACAACTACAACAGACGAGGTACGTAAAACCTTTAAACTACTGCTTAACAACATTTGAAACTAAACTATTCATTTATGTAATTTGAAAGTCCTTATTAAACCTAGATAGAATGGAACCTCTTGCCTCAACTCAACCATTGCCATCCAGTGTTTTTTTGTAGATTTTTAGACAAAGGAAAATAAAAAAAAACAGTTTAAGTTAGTTTCGATATTGGCCACCTTGAGGACCTATCTGAATTTCTTAGAGCAAAATTGTTGCTGTATGATATTTTTGGTGTCTTTGGATTTTAAAGCGTCAGTCTTAAGTCCAACTGCTCTTGATAGGGAATTATTACGGAGGTTTCAACAACAACGCGCCGAACTACAGACGTGGTCCGGGCAACAGTTACTACACGTCGAATTATAACAACCACCATCAAGGAGGCCATGACAACAATAGGCAACAACACCAGAACAATGATAGGAACAATCAGTACCGTCATCACCAGCAGCAGCAGAGACAAAACAACTATAGTCATAACCAAAACAACCAGGCACACCGGGTCAACAATCCAGGTAACACTTCTTCTTTTGAGAGCGGTGGGGGGATTAGTCGTCTTAGGGGGGGGGGGTGTCAGGAGATAAATGGGGGCTATTCTCATGCGCGAAGAACGGTATGCACGCAGTTGTTTAACCAAACTAATCAACGCCCTTTAAGCTGTCCAAAACTGACTCAATGATCAGCTCTTAATGATTGACAACATTTTAGCGCATTCGGTCTTTTCGCGCATGAGGGATTTCCCTGAGATAAATATTTATGGAAATGAATGAAAGAAAGAAGGAAGAAAAGTTGTTTCTCAGAAATCAAATTGTGATCAATTAGGATCAATAATTATATAATTTGAAAGTGGGGAGGGGGGATAGACAAAAGGCATATTCCATGCCAAATTATTGTCTACCCTGCATATTTTCAAATCTAAAAAGCAACGATTAATGTCTTCATCTTTTAGGTAAAACATAATATCAACCTGTACGGATATTTTTTCTGTTAATTCCGCTCACTACACGTTTTATAAACTAAATATGATAAAAACAATTTTGGTGTTTATTGAAAATCAACTGTGTTAGCATGCAAAATTTATTGAGGAATACTTAATTAGGATTAGTCGTCATAGATTTAATATTTGCGACTGTTTTCTTTGTTTTAGCTCAAGCGTAAGAGGATGAGCAAAGAGTCTGGAAGGCGATTTTGATGAAAGCCAAAAAAACTGACCTAAACTTGGTGCAACTTTTGCGTTTTATTTAATGTTTTTTTAAAGCTTCGTTATTGTGAAATTGTCACCGACATCACCCCCAGCCCCTTTAAGCGACCCCAAAATGTCGGAATCTAGTTTAAGTAGCCACCCCCTGCCCTTAACATGACCCCTGCTACTGACTAGAAAATGAATGAAGTGTTCAAGCTTTTAGCCAGTCTAGATGCTCGGAAGCTTCTGTTCATTTGACCTGGTCTGTCCTCTAGTTTTGTTATTACACTTGTAGTATATATCAAAAGAAGCGCGCTAGAATTTATTGCGGCCGATTCGATCGGTTGTATTTCCTTTGGTGTCCGGAAAAAAAGACGACAATCAGTTAATCGTTTAAATAATAAGTTATAAAGTTCTTTAGACATTTTAATGTAAAATGGCCTACATTGCCAAAATTTTTAGATTTGATGAATTTATATGCGAGCTTAAATGAAGTTGAAAACAAAAAGCAAAATGATTTCTGAATAACTGAATGCTTGCATTTACTGAAGTATTAGTTTGAAGTTTCGTCTTGTTTGTCCGGTACCAGTTTTGTTTGATAAAGTTAAAACCTACTGTTGCTTAAAGAGATAGATAATACATGTAATTGGATGATTCATGCAATAATTTGTAAAAAAAAAATTTAGCTCCTCGGTTGAAATTAATTTTTCTTTTGCCACGTAAATGTTGAATCAGATGGTGAAGCAAAAAGAGGGAGCTTGTTGTTGATTATGATATTAAAGTGTTCAAATTGATTTGGATTCACGTATGATGATGTGCTTATGTTACTTCTTTACTTGAAGTGCTGATATAAAGACTAGTGGGCTAAAAAGTTGAATTAACAATGTTTTACAAATTCGTTATAATCTAGCGAAAAGTTACCAAAAAAAACAGGAAATTTTCTTGGCTTAAGCAAACGCATTTGTAGTGAACCGAAAAGGAATTGAAAAGTCAGACTGTTTGAATACAAAATGATAACAAAAACCCAAATTGTTTTGAAATGGCAATTTTTTCATCACTAAAAAATGAATATTTTAAATATTAATGTCCGTAAAATATTACTAAGAAAAGAATAATACTGCGCAAATTGCACAGATTGTTCAGACCGTAGCCTTGAAAAATACAGCAAAGTTTCTGAAATTAATATACTTTTTTTGCGTCGTGTGATTAAAGGATCTGAACGAAAAACTACAGTTTAGGCATACTCGCCAATCATAGTAAAATAGGCAAATTGGACATCAATTTTGTAGAAAAATGACTAGAAAACCTAAAAATTGTTTTCTGAAAAATCGCAGAATTTGAAGTTTATCGTATTTGATTCCTGAATTTTCGCTTCATAAATATAAAAAAATAGCTTTACTCGACTAAATTTTTGAGCCTTAAATTTAGAATAAATCAGCTATTTTTATACTGCTCGCTTGCTTTATCCGCTCAAAGGTGTACAAAAAAAGCACCATATTCAAATTAAGCGGGAACTAGAATTTCTTCCCCTAAACAAATTTTTTAGGAAATTTTGCCGACATGCTCATTTCTGACATATTCAAGGCTGAAATAGTCAAATTCATGGAAATTCAAATAAAACTCGACACAGAAAACTTTTTCGGAAATAATAAATAATCGAATCACGACTAAAAAAAGCTTTAATATGCTATTTGTCCGATGATTGTTTGTGGAACTTGATTTTGCGTGGAAAAACAATAAACATTAAAAAATAAACACGCGAATACAAAATTGCCCTATATTTTCAATGTCGGAACTATTATCCACATTTGAAAGAACCCTTTCTGCACTATTTATGTGATTAGTTAACTAAAAAAGATAACATATTTTGCGAGGAGAAATACAAAAAGCAAAGTGAAATAGTAAAAGGGATTCCAAAAAATTCCTTTAAATTATCGTCGTGGTTGGGTGATTCATAGATAAAGCAAAACTTTTACCGTATCCATTGCTTGAAAAGTCATTTTCCGTCAAAACGCTTAAATTTTTTCACTTGCGAGAGCAAGTGACTTGTAATCGGGAACTAGAATTTCTTCCCATAAACAAATTTTTTAGGAAATTTTGTCGACATGCTCATTTCTGACATATTCAAGGCTGAATTAGTCAAATTCATGGAAATTCAAATAAAACTGCTTTTTAGTAGATGTGGGATAGTAATTAATGTTTTCAAATATTTTTATTGTAAAAACGTTGATATTTTGGTTATGTGGTTTGCTTCCTAACTTCTGACGACTGATGTTATGTTGTTTTTTCAACGGTTAACAACTTTTCTCTACTGATAGCCAGTCAATTGTATTTTTGCCCAGTAAGATATTGCATAGGATTTTTTCAAAATTATTACAAAGCTTAATGAATAAAAAGTTCAAAAGTGTGAATTATTTTAAATTTGTAAAAATGCTTCCTACAAACAGTTTTTTTAAAAAAATGTTAATTTATGTGTCTAAATGAATACTTGTAATTTGAGCCAACTGGATAAATAAATACATTTTTACTCCATGGGTGTCTTATAAACACAACCCGTTTTGACACTAAGAATCATTAGAGTTTTAGAGCTTTAACAAATTTTGCATCATTTTTAAACTTCGCGTGTAAATTTGTTCAATTTTCAACTTCTCTTAACAGATGTGAGCTATCAAGCGTAGTTTCAGGTTACGCAGGTCACTTCTGTTCTAACCTGTTTCTCAAATAAACATGCTCATTTTGGTGCTCCTTCTGTTGTGTAGTTTCGGCAGTTTAACAGCATTTTTTGCGACATATTCGATTCCTGTAGAAATCATTTTTTGTCAAAATGCGTTAGCTGTTTCACATTCATTTTTTCACTAATCGGGAACTTTTTATCCCGTAAATTGACTTTCTAGGAGATTTTGCCTGCATTCTCATTTTTGACATGCTCAATTTCGTGGAGTCTTAAATAAAACCAATTCTTAGTTCACATGCGGTAGTAATTAATTTTTTCAATTTTTTTGAACAAGCGATATTTGCTTCCTAAATTCTGACGGCCGATTGTCCGTTGTTTTTTCAACGGTCAAAAATTTTTCGTACTTTTTCTGCCGACTTGCTCATTTTTGAAAACTCAAAAAAAAAACTATCCAGTTCACGTGGAGTAGCAATCAATTTTTCCAATTATCAATTTGATGTTTTTTTTGGATTTGTGGTTTTCGTCCTAAATTTTGTCGACTGCTTTTCCATTATTTTCAAATGCACTTTATACTATCTGGTAAGTTTTTTGAGTGATTCTTTTTCGAAGCTGGGGCCTTTTCTATTTTTGGTTCAAATCGTTTCTACTTTAATTGAAAGTTCTCTGTCTTGATTTTACAATTCTCCAACCTTCTAGTTTACAACTGTAGGCTGTAGAATATTTACTAACTCCTGTTCTTAGTAATTTTAAATTTTTTCATTTAAAAATTTCCGTTAAACGGGTCCAGCTTATGTTATATTAGATCAGTGAACTTGTGTTCCGCAGTTTAAAGGGAGAATTGAGTCAAATTCTTTTGCCTGTTTAAAAAAAACTTTCGAAGAAAAACAATTTAAAGAAAAAATCGAAGAAAAACATTCTTCGTCTACTTTCGTTTTCGGCTTCACGAGGGACGATCCAAGTTTTTTCAACTTAGTTGCCGCTCGCTCATTGAGTAGCAATGCTTGTTAAGGCTGTTTATCAACATCGTCCGATACGAAGGCGTGAAGTTTTGTAGAGAATTTTTGGAAAATTATTTTTTATCTGAATTTTGCAAAAAATGATTTTTTTTCGGATAAGGATTTTTTTCTGGTGGTTTGCTGTTTAATTTATCCCGGTTGACTTTCCATTTTTTTTTCAGATGCTATTCATATTATCTAGTAAGCTTTTCGAGCAGTTTTTCTAGTTTTAGGTTCAAACGGTTTCTACCATAATTGAAACTTTCTCTGTCTAGATTTAGAATTGTCTATTCTTCTATTACACATCTGTAGCTTGTAAAAAATTTACCAACTATTATTTTTAGTAATTCTATAAATTTATATTTCTTTATTTCGGCTAACAGGTTCGGCTTATGTTATATCGGATTAGTAAACTTATAAATCGCAGTTTCAAGGGCGAATTGTGTTAATTGCTTCTGCCTGTTTCAGAAGAGATTTTTTTTCTTAAAAGTTTTTTATAGCTTGTCTTCTTTTTCGTTTTCGGCTAAACAAGGGTCGAGCCAAGTTTTTTAGCCTTTGCTGCCAATCGGTTAATGATTCGCAATGCTTGTTGAGGCTGTTTATAAGCATCGTCCAATACATAGCTATGAAGTTTTTAGAGAGTTTTTTGAACGTTAAAGCTATTTTTCAAATTAGTTTTTTTGGAAAAAGATAACTTTCTTTTTTTTCTTTCCAATGTTTTAATTGTATCGCAAGTGTTGCGAAGCTCCACTTTGCGTCTGTGATTAATTTTTTGTCTTTATCTTCTCAAGAGTCATGAACGCAGAGAATACTTTAAGAAGAAAGATCATATATAAAGAGCTTTGAGGTGATATTCTTTCTTTTAAACTCAAAAACTGAAGTCTTTCTAAAAACAAATGTGTTTTTTTTTTCTATCTCGTTGCATTCATGCCTCCAACTGTCTGGTGGCTATGTTTTGACTCTTTTGACGCTATTCTTAGTCTCAGTGTAAACACTTGAAAATTTAAGCTCTTTTCCATTTTTCCCATCCTCTAAATTTCCATCTTGAGAAACTACTTTAAAATGGGGGCTATTTTCACATGCGCGAAGGACCGAATTGGCAAAAAAACTTGTGGGCGAAGGACCGAAAACAAAATTAGCCGAAAGTCAATTTTTAAAAAGGAGCAATTGCTATTGAATTAAAATGAATTAAATGAAGCAATTAAATATAAAATTTGTTCCAATTCGGCGTCGGTCAGTGACAATTTGAAAATTTTGCATATTTCTGCCGTTTTTATATTCGGTCAATATCAATATTCAGTCCCTGGAAATGCTTACTTTCTTTCTAAAATTTAGATTACTGAAATCTGACTGGCTGATTTTTTTTTGCGCATTCGGTCCTTCGCGTATGAGGGATTCCACCCTTTAAAATTGTCATATCATAATATGACGCGTTTGGCCATAATTACCATACAACAACTATGAAAACAGAATTTTAGAAAGATGCGGGGAGTTGAAAAGTTTAAAATGTTCATCAAGGTTGGTCTGCAAGTTTTGCACATGTAATTATATGATAGAGATAATTTTACTGCCGAGAGCTGCAACGAAGTTACAGCTGTAAGAAGAAAACAGTAATCGATCACCAATATCTATTTACCTTGCAAGATATTGCAAAATTCTGGCTGTTTTGAGATGTCTTATCGGTGACGGAAAGCGGTTAACTCTCGCTCGAAAAGATGTTGGATCGAGACACATACATCATGATCTGTCATAATGCACTGAAATTTAGAAATGAATAACAATAAGCAAAAACTTCATAATTTTCTATGAAATTTCCACAACTGTTTTCCGCAAAAAGCTGAACTGCTCGATTGTTTTCTCATTTCTTCTTTTTGATGGTTCACTACTTACTAAATATTGGAGATCGACCAAAAAAACAAAACAAGTGCGAAAACAGAATACGATTTAATTTAGAACAAATTTTGAGAACTCATTCAAGAAGATTCAAAAGAAAAATGTTCACATCGATAAAATTGTAATGATTAGAATCAAACCAATGAAATATGCTGGAGCTGCGTTGTCATTGAATTGTTTCGATGAAGTAACCTCAGTTGGCTCCGACACTTCAGTTATGTTAATTGCACTTGTCGTTTCTGCAGAATTTTCTTCGTCTTGTCTGTTGCCTTTTTTTGCCTTTCCATGATTTTTGTCAACTTTGACTCTGCCGGTGGTTCCTCCGTCCTTGTC